CCAGTGATGGTGAGTGTGGTTGTGCACTCTTGTGGGTGTACTTGTGTGTGCTGTGTGAGCAGCAGCACAGGCCTGAGTGCATCTATAAGTGTGGCCAACAGTATTCACTAATTAATGAGTGCCTGTATAGTGATAGATGTCAAGTTTACATGGTGAGCTTATTGCTTAATCTGTGGGTGTGCTCATGAGTGTACACAAAGGGACCATGTGAAGTGTGTGTGTTTGTGTATGTGTGTGTGTGTGTGTTAGTGATGACCATTGACTGTTATCTGCAGGAAGGGAAGGGAGTCCCTAGGTATATTTTGATGGGGCAACCTTTGACTCACTGGCTGGGTGGAGGGTTTGCAGTAGTGGCCAATGGAAGCTGGGCCTGGTACCTTCCAGATTTTTCTGCCTCTTAAAGTCCAAGAAAGCAGAGCATTCTCCAGAGTCTTCCAGAAGTGGCTAGGCCCCTTGGAGCTGAGACTGTTGCCTACCTGGCTTTCTTTCTCTTTCACAGAACCGGAGGGGCTGGTGGGTCCCAGCAGTCCCCGGCCAAGCCCACTGCTGTCTGAGAGCTTGGAGAATGATTCCATGGAGACGGTAGAGGGTGAACAGGAGCCTGAGGCAGAGGCACCAGGTAGCACAAACTCTGAGCCAGGCACACCACGAGCTGGACGGTCAGCCATTCGGGCTGGGGGCAGCAGCCGTGCAGAGCGCTGTGCTGGTGTCCACATCTCAGACCCCTACAATGTCAACCTCCCACTGCACATCACCTCCATCCTCAACGTGCCTCCAAACATCATCTCTAACGTATCCTTGGCCAGGCTCACCCGTGGTCTTGAGTGCCCTGCTCTACAGCCCCGGCCAACCCCTGCCTCTGGCCCTGGCCCTGGCCCTGGCCTTGGCCCTGGACCCCCAGGTAAGGACCCAGGGATTTTCCAGGATCAGAAAGGGGACTAGAACTTTAGGCTGAAGTTCTGATACTTAGGATTCACCTTGGAAAAGGCAGAGGCTTCAGCCCTTAGGTTGGTTGCCTTTGGCTGCCTCTGTGGATTTAGAGTTTAGGAATTCAGTAATATTATCAAGTTGTATGAAATCCATGGACAGGGTATCCCTGGAAGCCTTAAGACACTGATATACCCAAGAATGGAGGTCTGTGTTGGACACATAAAGCATGGATTTTAATACAAGTGTAGAAATATATGATAGATGATGGTAATGATCATAGTAACATTAATACTAACAGCTAACATTTATTAAGGGTTAATTATATATTAGGGTTGTGTTAGGTACCTTGTGGACATTAACTCCTTTCATTTCTCATTTATATCTAGGTATTATTGTTATCCTTATAGTAGTGATACCTGAGACTATGGTTAAGCAATTTGCAGTTGATTTAGGTAGCAAGAGGCAGGGCTGGGATTTGATCCTTGCTCTGAATCCACTTCCTAAGGTATCACTGATAAGAAGTCCTGAGGCAGCACAGGAGAGGGTAAGGACATGGGCTATAGAGTTAAGTAGATGTGGGTTCATATTTTTGCCATACTACTTATTAGCTATGTGATGTTGGACAAATAGTTTAATCTCTGAGACTCAGTTTCATCATATGTAAAAGAGGACAGTACCCTACGTAATTGTTTTGTACAGAAAGTAAGACAACATATCGTAAAACAGAAAGCAGTGCTTGGCACCTGGTAGGGGCTTAATATAGCTATAAGCCAATATCCCAGTAGTTAGGGATATTGGTCATAAATACTGTGAAGTGCCTCCATTGGGAGTTTCAAACTTCTACTATATCAATGCTAGGAAGATCCACATTGGAAATGGCCAGGGCTGTTCTTGAATTTTGTATTCCTGGAACTACCTCTTCCTCAACAGATGAGAAGTCGGAGGCAAGTCCAGCCCCCAGTCCCCCGGCTGACTCAGGCCCTGAGGACATGACTCCTGCCCTGGAGGATTCCCTGTCCCAGGAGGTGCAAGATTCCTTCTCCTTCCTAGAGGACTCAAGCAGCTCAGAGCCTGAGTGGGTGGGGGCGGAGGATGGGGAGGTGGCCAAGGCAGGAGCAGCAGGAGCAGCCTTCTCCCCTGGGGAGGACGACCCTGGGATGGGCTACCTGGAGGAGCTCCTGGGAGTTGGGCCTCAGGTAAGGAGGAACCATACTGGGGTTGGGGATGGTATGAAGTTCAGAGGGTGGACAGGGCTGCCTGGTCCTGAGTCACAATGTTGTGCCTACAGGTGGAGGAATTCTCTGTGGAGCCACCCCTCGATGACCTGTCTCTGGATGAGGCACAGTATGTCCTGGCTCCCAGCTGCTGTTCCCTGGATTCTTCTGGCCCCAGGCCTGAACTGGAGGAGGAAAATGGGGAGGAAGTCTTTTTGAGTGCTTATGATGACCTAAGTCCTCTTCTGAAACCTAATCCCCAAAACTGGGAGGGTGCAGGAAATCTGGAGGAAGAGGCAAAAGAGTGTGGAAGTCAAGATTCCAAAAAGGCTGAAGAAGAGCAGACATGCTGGGAAACTGGGAAAGACAAGAAGGCTGAGCCTGGAAGCACATTTGGCACCAGGGAAGAGGCTGAGGGGAGTCCAGAGACTGAGATGGAGGTTGATACGGCTGGTGAGGAAGGAGAGGAGGCTGATGGAAGCCAAGAGATGATAAGTTTGGAAAAAGAGAGTGGGGAAGAGACAGAAGCCAAGGGAAAGAATTCTAAAGGTCAGAAAGAGGTTGAAAGTACCAAGGAAGCTAAGGGTGTGGAGGAACAAAGAGAAGAACAAGAGAAAGACAAGGAGAAGAAAAGAGAGATTGAGAGAGAAGAAGAGGCCAAGCAAGAAGGAGAGGGAGCCCCAGCAGAATCTGGAAGGGACTCAGAGAACAGGGCTCAGGAACAACTGATTTCTGAGGGGAGCTGGGAAGTTGTACACAAACAGGAGGCTGAGGGAGGCAGAGAGGATGAAGTCAAAAGACAGAGGGGGAATGGGAACCACAAGGTAAGAGAAGACCAAAGACGTGGTGAAGATAGCAGAAGTTCAGAAGCATCAGTTGATGGAGGAGATGGGGAGGTTATTAGGGAGCGGGAGAGTGGGGACGGAGAGGCGGAGGGAGAACAGAAGGATGGAGGTGACCATTTAAAAGAAGGGACCCTCTTTGAAGGGCCAGTTATAGAATCTCTGGATGTTGATAGTACCAAAGAGGGCAACACCCAGTCTTCTGAGATGGAACAGGCAGACTTGCAGCCACCCCTGCTAGAGGGGATGGAGCCTCAGGGACAGCCTTGTTCAGAAGGCTGTGATGTATGCCCCTGTGTCCTTAACTCAGCTGGAGGTGTGGGCATGCGCCTGGCTTCTACCCTGGTTCAGGTCCAACAGGTCCGCTCTGTGCCTGTAGTGCCCCCCAAACCACAGTTTGCCAAGACGCCCAGTGCAATGTGTAGCAAAATCCATGTGGCACCTGCAAATCCATGTCCAAGGCCTGGTCGGCTTGATGGGACACCGGGGGAAAGGGCTTGGGGGTCTCAAGCTTCCCGAGCCTCTTGGAGAAACGGAGGCAGTCTTTCCTTTGATGCTGCTGTGGCACTGGCTCGGGACCGCCAGAGGACTGAGGCTCAAGGAGTTCGTCGGACCCAGACCTGTACTGGGGGTGGGGATTATAGCATCATTCCCAGAAGCTCCCCCTGTAGCTTGGTCTCTGACCATTCCCCTCGGCCCCTTAGCTGTCTAGGACTCCCACCTGAAGGCTCTGAAGGGTCTGGGCCCCCAAGTCGGTTTAGTCTGCCCCCTAGAGAACCCCAGCTCCCTGACACCCTTACATCCCCCCAGCGTCGATCATATGCATTTGAAACACAGGCTAACCCTGGAAAAGGTAAGGGACTGTGATTAGAATCCGACCATTGGACAAAGGAGGCTAGTAAGTTATCTTGAATCCCTGGTATCCCTCACTAGCTGTCTCTTCTGCTGCCTGAGCAGCTATAGTACCCCACTCTATCATAGGCTTTGGTTCTCCAGCTACTCTCTTTAATGACTATGGGAGGCACTGCCTTGATGATTTTACCTGAGCTTGTCTCAGACAGAAAGCACTATCTCTTAGAAGAGAGTCCCAAGAAAGTAAGAGCCTCCTCTCACAAAGTGTGTCCACTGACCAAAGGAACATAGGGCATAGAGAAAACTTAGAGGCTTCTTAAAAGTGAAGAATGAAGGGGGAATTCCAGTCAAATGGCTGCCCTTTTCTGAGGCTATGTTCATGGAATCCCAGTGTAGAAGCAGGAAACACAAGGCCAGGTAAGAGCCTTCCATACACAAACACTTCTAGAATTGCCCATCCCTACTTTGCTCCTAGACCCTTGGTTACCTCCTAATCCTCTTGGTTCCATATTAGGAGGAAGCTATCCAAGCAACTCTCTGAAGTCCTCAGTGTTTGTTGGAAGCACTGGACCGGCTCTCAGCCTCCAATCACCTTGCAAGAGACAATCCTGTAAAGATCTCCTTGCCTGGGCTGGGGATGTGGCTCAAGCAGTAGCGCGCTCGCCTGGCATGCATGCGGCCTGGGTTTGATCCTCAGCACCACATACAAAGATGTTGTGTCCACCGATAACTAAAAACTAAATATTAAAATTCTCTCTTAAAAAAAAAAAGATGTATTCTTACATTTAAAAAAAAAAAATCTCCCTGCCCTTTTTTTCCTTTGGAATAACTTCCTTCCATTTTAGGAAAGGGGAAAGTTGTCACTCAGGTCTAGGAATTGCATGTCCATACACTCTAGTAAAGGTGAATAAAATAAAAATTGTATTTTTACATTTAAAGAGTGTGAGGACTCTTATCTTTTTTTAAAGTCTTGGGCGATAGATATATTTTCACTTATTTGGTCAAACGTCTCTTTTTTTCTTGTTTGGGTGCTCCTCCTCAGCTGTTGTCATGGAGACCTGTGGCTGGAAACTAGAGCTGGGTTCATGGTGGTCAGGAAATGAGGAAGAGAAACTTACATTTACATAATATTCATTTTATGCCAGGAACTCGGCTAGATGTGTACTCCTAAAAATATTGCCTTTAATTTTATTTAATCCACATAACAATTCTGTAGAGTTGGTACTGGCAGTTGGTACTGGTACTCCATTTTTCCGATAAAGAAACTAAGGCTGGGGGAAAAAAGACAGTTAGTGTAGGTTATAAATGATTGGGTCAAAAAGATGGGGGCTGAGTCAGGAGGAAATAAAATGTTAATTCCTTCAAGACATTTCCCATCCTCCACCTATTCCCTAGGTGACCTGCCTCCAGGGAACTGTTCCTCCCTACAAGTTGTTGTTAATGAATGAAAGCCCCTCTGGGTAGCTCCCTCTCCGGCACTCCACCTTTGGCCCACCTCTGGTCACTAGTCAGGTATGCAGGACCTTTGGCATGCAGGATAGTGGGAGGAGAGGCCATGAGAACGAAGGAATTCTAAAATGTACTCAAGGGACCAGACACCTAGCTTTGGGGCCGGTTCTCTGCGGAGAAATCTGTTCTATTCTTTAAATAAAACTTGCTTTCTGTGCTTCTCTCGGTGTTTCCTGAGTGTTCAATTCAATATCTGGGGAAATAGGACTGAAGACCTGCTTGATGCTCATCGAGGACATCAAAACTAAAGCTCATTTTACGTCAAAATACTTGCCAAAGATGTCAGGTAATAAGTGGCAGGGATGGGTTTGTCTGGCTCCAGTTCCCATCATACTACACAACTCCAAATACTTTTAAAGAGTACATCACGAATGAGAAGAATGGGAATCAAGATTATTCTCACAGTGTGAACCTCGAAAAACTCGAAACCCTGGAATGCCTGAGTGACTGCTGACGCTAATACAAAAAAGTATGCCAAGATTTACATATGTCCTGACACATCCTCATCTCCGGTTGGAAACACTTCGAAATGATGCCCTGATCCAAGATGGCCTCCCAAATAACCCCTGTTAAAGATGGCGCCTCCCTCCGACGTTCTTCCCTGGATCTCAGCTGGCCCCTCACTCCCATTCACTCTAACTTAAAAGGCCCTGCCTCGCACAAAATTGGAAGTACAAGTTAGTCAATTTTCTCTGATTATTTCCCAGAGTCGCTAGGATTTCAGTGAATCCTCCATAACATTACCTCTTTGGGACCCCATACACCTACGCAGCCCTCAGCCCTCACCAAGATGAAGGAACGGAAGTGGGGCGGCCCAGAGGCTAGGAGTAGGCTGGGCGGGTTGAGGAGACACTTCCGCCCCTCACTAACATGGCCGCAGGCGGGGAGTGCGCATGAGCAGCTGTCTATGGAGCTACCCGAGTGGGGAGAGCGAGAACGCTGTCGGGAGAAATCGGCGGCTGAAGCGGCCTTGGCGGGTGAGTGCAGGACCCGACAAGAGCCTGGAGATGGGGTGGACCAGCAGGGCGGGGCCGTTTTGGTTTTATTTCAGTTTATCAGGTTGGGGGACTCCCGGGGAGGAAGCCTTTGTTTTGGGGGAGGGGGCCGTGTCTGGTCCTGCTTTGTGGGCCGAATTGCTCCCCGCCCCAGGCACGCACGTCCCCGCCCTCCTGCGCTGCCCATCTGGGAGCCGCAGCTGCGGGTGCCAGGTCCCCGAGTCCCTGGCGCCCTTTCCTGCCTTCTCTGCCCAGGACCTGGGTCGCCGGGCGAGCGCCGCGGGTCTGGCCGTGTCACCGCGCGAGTCCCCTGGCTCGCGCTCGGAGGGTGCTCAGCTCCGTAAGCGCCTACTGGTTGTTGGGCCTGCAGGGAAACGACTCCTTCTGTGGCAGCGTCTAGGCTCCTGAATTCTTTCGGGATTCTCCCCCACACCCTCTTTGTGTAAAGACTTAGCAAGGGCTCTTGATGGGCCCTCCTTGCCTGAGCGTGCAAGCCACAACGTCCTTTGCTGATTTCCGTGTCACATATTCTTAACGCTCAGGAAATGCTTCCGGATGTCCAACTAAGATTTGAATAAGTTGCCCGACCCCGGTGCTGTGTGCCCTCGGAGGCTGTCTCTGGCTGACAGCTGTAGGCGATTAGAGTGTTCTGCCCTCTCATTACCTGCTCCTGCAGTCAGCGCAGCAAACCTGAGAGAGAGGTACTTCCTCCCCAGTTTTGAGGTTGGAGACCTTGATGGTCCCAAAACACTTATGCTACTTCCCTTTAGGGACTGGGATCTCCTTGCAGCGTTACTTCTTACAGTTTCACTTTCAGTTCCTTTTTTTTAAAAATTTTTTTTTTATTGTTGTTGTTACTCTTTTCTTTGTACGCGAGCTTTTTATCCGCTACAGATTTTCCTGCGATAGGAAAGGTTGGAGGACCTTATGGATAGAGAATTTACAAAAATATTGCCCCTTTCGTGTTGGGATTATTTTTCTTCTTTGTACTGTGTAGCTGTTTCTGGAGGCATCTGTCTCCTCAGTCCTTTGTTTTTTTCTATCCTCTGGCTGGGTGTCAGGGTCCTAAGGCAGGCACCTTCTAGATGGATTCCTCCCCCATTGTGTTTTCTCCTTCGGAATCCTGAGCTTTGAGTTTTTTCTCTTTTTTGCTGAGGCTCAGTGGATATGGAGTTGTCATAGCAACATTTTACCAACTGTGTTGCACTACCGGAAGGCTTGATGAATAAAATAGAGGAGGTTTGGATATGACATACTTGGGCTTTAGGACCTCTAACAGATGCTGTAAATCTGGACACCCCTAAACAAGAACCCTGTCAATGGAATGCTACCTAAGGGCCAAGTCTGGGTTTTTATTTACCTTTTTTTTTTTTTTTTTTTGAGGGGGGTGGTGGTGCTGAGGATTGAACCCAGGGGTATTTTACCACTGACCTACATCCCCAGCCTTTTTATTTTATTTATTTATTTGGGGGCAAGGTCTAAGTTGCTTCTGGCCTCACTATGTTAATGAGACTGGCCTTGAATTTGGTGATCTTCCTCAACCTTCCCAAAGAGTTGCTGGGAATGCACCACCACCTGGCTATCCCAGTCCTTTTTGTTATTTATATTAGACAGAATCTTGCTAAATTGCTGAGACTGGCCTTCAACTTGTTTTCCTCCTGCCCCAGCCTCACCAATGGCTGGGATTACGGGTGAGCACCACCATGCCTGGCCCATGTCTAGGTTGGTTTGTTTTTTGGTACTAAGGGGCACTTAATCACTGAGCTACATCCCCAGGCCTTTTTAATTTTTAATTTGGAGATAGGGTCTCACTAAGCTGCTTAGGGCCGCTGCTAAGTTGTTGAGGCTGACTTTGAACTCTTCATCATCTTGCCTCAGCCTCCCCAGCCAGTGGGATTACAGGCCTGTGCCACCATACTGGGTTTTGTAGTTAGGGATGGTTTTCAAAGGGCAGTGGCTTCAGGTTTTACTTCCTAAATTTGAAGTTTCTTGCTATCTAGTCTGTCTGCGAGTTGTGAAGTATCAGTGTCCATGACTCTGTGTGTTTTATTTATTTATTTTATTTCTTATTTCTTGTACTGGTGATTAAACCCAGGGATACTTTACCACTGAGCTATGTCTCCAGCCCTTTAAAATTTTAATTTTGAGATTTTAAATTTTAATTTTGAGTCTCACTTAGTTGCTTAGGGCCTCACTAATTTGTTGAGGCTGGCCTCAAACTTGTGATCTTCCTGTCTCAGCCTCCTGAGTTGCTGGGATTACAGGCATGCTCCACTGGGTCTGGAGATCCTGGTTTTTTTTTTTTTTTATAGTGATTGTCTAAACATGGCCCTTCCTAATCCCCATGAAGCTGCTGTTATGGCAGATCTTTATAGCTTTATTAGTAATCCATAATACCTTTACTAAGAATCCATTCAAATATATGTTTTCCAGAATAATTATCCCCTCTCCACCAGGTGCTGGAGTGATAATAGAGGGATGAGGAACACAATTTGTAGAGTTATTTTTTCAATCACTACAGTTCAGTCCTCAGCTTCAGAATGGGGGAAGTCAGTTGTCCCTTGCAGATGATTGGGTTATTTTCTTGGCTTTGTCTTTGAGGATCTAGAACTAGGCAAGCTGTTCAGTTTCCCGGACTCACTGTGAACTTCATGATATCTACCAGGACTTAGCACTCAGGGAGATACGAAGACCTTCAAAAAGGGACCAGCTCCTCGGATGTACTCCCTCACAGAGAGATGAAGGGGTGAGTGAAGAAGAGGTAGGGTCTGATATGAGAGAGATGCAAAATGTCTAAGAGTACTGTCTCTGGAGGTCAGCCTGACCTGGATTCAAGTCCCAGCTCCATCTCCTACCAGCTGTGTGATTCAGTTTCCCCATCTATAAAATGGAAGTAATGGTACCTACCTCATAGTGCTCTTATTAGTATTAAATAAGCTCATGCATGTTAAGTGCTTAGCTTAGGACCTGTACATAGTAAACACTTAGACTAACTTGTATTCTAACCTAACCCATCTATTGGTAATACCAGTGAGTTTGGGAGTCATATGTTACTGTGCCAGTGAGCTTCTCATTCACTTCTTCCCTTTGTCCTTTCACCACAATCAGGCAGCAGAAAACAGCTGAAACAGAAGAGGGGACAGTGCAGATTCAGGAAGGTGAGTGTTAAAACTAGGACCAAGACCAAGGTCATGGACTTTCTCCATCCCCCACTAGCCTATCATCTGTATATCTTCTTTCTTTCTTTTCTTAAAAAAAAAAAATTTTGTAGTTGTTAATGGACCTTTATTTTATTCATTCATTTATATTCGGTGCTGAGAATTGTACCCAATACCTCACACATGCTAGGCAAGCGCTCTACCACTGAGCCACAATCTTCTATCTTCTTTCTTCTTAAGGATATTCAAGTAGAACAGAGGGAGAAAGGCAGTTAACTCAGACTTTCCTTCATTCTTTTAATTCAGGTGCAGTGGCTACAGGGGAGGACCCAACCAGTGTGGCTATCGCTAGCATCCAGTCAGCTGCCACCTTCCCTGACCCCAACGTCAAGTACGTCTTCCGAACTGAGAATGGGGGCCAGGTAAGGGAGGGGGCCAGGTGGCTGCAGGTGTTACCTGGGGTTGGGGTTGAGGGAGGTAATCAAACATCTTGGGGAGACGTGACTTGGAGGAGGAGGTGAAAATGTAGACTCTTGGGGGTGGTGGTGATAAAAGGTCTAGAGGAGAAATTATTATAGGAAAGGGGAATGATGAAACCTCATTATAGAGAAAGAAGAGAGGACAGCTGAATCTATGTCTCTGAAGGGTTTTTGTTTTGGGGCTTTGTCCAAGGGAAGCTTTATGAAGGATCCTGAGATTCCAAGTGCTTATTCTTCTGTCTTCCCTTCCCCCTTCCTCTCTGCTTCTAGGTGATGTACAGGGTGATCCAGGTGTCTGAGGGGCAGCTGGATGGCCAGACTGAGGGCACTGGAGCCATTAGTGGCTACCCTGCCACCCAATCCATGACCCAGGTACAGGGGGATGGGCTGGGGATGGGCTAAATCTCTGAGTAATAAGAGGAAGAAGGGAACTAATAGATTGGAAGTGAAACCAGGAACAGTGAGACATCTCAGACTGCTTTGACTGAAGGCACTAGGCTTTCCCTTTCTAGGTGTTTCGCCTTCCCTCTTCAAGGGATAAAGCTACAGAGTGGTATAGGGGGAAGAAGTATCTGATTGTCACTGGACTCTGTTCTTTTGCTCCCCTTTCCAGGCGGTGATCCAGGGTGCTTTCACGAGTGATGATGCAGTTGATACAGAGGGGACAGCTGCCGAGACACATTATACTTACTTTCCCAGCACTGCCGTGGGTGATGGGGCAGGGGGCACCACATCGGGGAGTACAGCTGCTGTCGTTACTACCCAGGGCTCAGAGGCACTACTGGGGCAGGCAACCCCTCCCGGCACTGGTGAGATATTGCATGAGGATGCTAGATGGCAGGGCCAGGAAGGGCTGGGGGACATGGCTGGGGCAGTGGACCTTTATTCATAACCCTTAGTAAAGACTAAGACCTGGCCAGACAGAGAATTTGGGGCTGATCTGCTAGCAGGAAGGAGCATGTTCTTTTCGGAGTAGGGTCCCAGGGCCTTGTTGAACTTTCTAGTTCCAAGTCCTGGCAGAACCTGCCCCGCATCTTCACAGGTCAATTCTTTGTGATGATGTCACCACAAGAAGTATTACAGGGAGGAAGCCAGCGCTCAATTGCCCCCAGGACCCACCCTTATTCCCCGTGAGTGACCCATTTCTTCTCAGTTACCATGAATAGTCTTAATACCCACTGTAATTTGTATAAGTCCTTACCCCAAACTCAAATCTTAATTTTTAAATTTCTTTTGTCCTTCCCTCACTCTGATCATCCTGCTCTGTTGTCAGGAAATCAGAAGCTCCCCGGACAACCCGGGATGAGAAACGCAGAGCTCAGCATAATGAAGGTAGGTGCTGTGTTCCAGATGTGAAGCCAGGAACTTGTCTAATTGGGCTAGGGACTTGCAAGGAAAGAAGGAATCAGTGGAAGTGCCAGAGTCCTGGGGCAAGCCAGGGCATTACCCAGCAGACCTCTGTTATGCACTATAAACAAGTACAAGGGGCAGGTCCCCTAGTTTAGTATGTCTGATGCTATCTGAGGGGAGGAAGGGTTGGTCATTTTATCCTGGGGCTTGTGAGTGTTCACTGAGTCACTGTGTCCTCCACTTTGACCCACAGTGGAGCGCCGCCGCCGAGACAAGATCAACAACTGGATTGTGCAGCTGTCCAAGATCATCCCAGACTGCTCTATGGAGAGCACCAAGTCTGGCCAGGTCATGGAAGGACCCTGGTAGTGGATGGGAGGCCTAAATTCTGTCTCCTGGTATTATTTCCAGAAATAGTAGAGTGTGGGGCATACACTTTTCATTCACTCTTCATATCTTTCTCTAAGGTCCCTACATCCATGGGAGATGCTATATCACCATCCTGAGGGGAAAATAAAGTCCAAAGTGTGAATGTTGTTTTGGAAAGCATAATGCTAGATGTCTTAAATCCTAAGTCCTCATTTTGTTGACTTTGTCTTGCAGAGTAAAGGTGGAATTCTATCCAAAGCCTGTGATTATATCCAGGAGCTTCGGCAGAGTAACCACAGGTTGTCTGAAGAATTGCAGGGGTTAGATCAACTGCAGCTGGACAATGATGTACTTCGACAGCAGGTCAGACTCCTAATCCCAGTATTACCCACTAGGCCCCTATAGCCCACTGACCCAGTTTGGGACTCTGTACTTAATTCTCCATTGACAGCACTTCACATTTTCCTCCTCACCAGTGGATGTCTAATTTCAGGGGCTTGGTAGTGTCAACTTTTCTACCCATTTCCTTGACTGCCTTCTTTCCATGTTAGGTGGAAGACCTTAAAAACAAGAATCTGCTGCTACGAGCTCAATTGCGGCACCACGGATTAGAGGTCGTCATCAAGAATGACAGCAACTAACTATGGGGATTCAGGGGCTTTGGGCCCAAGAACTGCAGATAGCCCAGGAGCGACAGGCTTATCCCTTTCCTTCACTGCCCACTTCTGGCATGGGACTCTGGGGAGTTCAAAAGGCGTGTCTTTGAACTGAGGACCTGTGGTATGGCAGCCTGCAGTAGTGTGAAACACACATTGTGAACATGCACTGACAGCCTTGCCTACCCCTACCATGCAGCCCCTGGGTCCTCATGCTCCTCTTGCACAATGCATGTGCTGTCTCCAAGCTGGATACTGGACATACTAAACTGGGGGGCTTGCCCTGTGCTTAGAGTACTCAGCAGAGGGTCTGCTGACAAGTGATACTCTGGCTTGCCCCAGGACTCTGGCACTTCCATTGGTTCTTCCTTTCCCCGGAACTGAGGTTCTAGATGTGGACCTGCGACTCTGGGGAACAGACTTAATGAAGAAATGGGGAAGGTTGCTTAGCAGTGTCTACTGTCCCACAAAGAAACTGGCCAGCAAGCAGCTAAGGCCTGTGTAGAAGTCTCTGAAGCCAGGGAGAATAACAGGCAGGGGCCCACTTGGGGTCTTTCCCCTTGTGGGGGTGTTCCCCTCTTTTTTTTAAGATAAAATTGTTCGGAGCCACAGTTGTCTCTTTTTCCTCCTTTTGTGGGCCCCAAATCAAAAGGGAGGGGGCACATTACCCTTTGACCAATAAGGGCTGTGCCAACTTTAGGGTGGGGTGCCATTCCTATACTCATTACCCTGAGTTGTGTTACCTGTGCCAGATCGGGTGTTGTTTCCGGCTCACCCTGGCAATAGCAGATTTCTCCTGTGGGATGTTGAGAGGCACCACGAACAGGTGCTGTGGGGACTGTGCGGGAGGCGGTGCCTTGCTTCCGGTTCCGGTCTGGGCTCTGGGAGGAAGGGAGAGATGCTGCCCACGGCGAGGGGGCGGGCTGGGGCCACATTCCTGCAACTGGTAATCGCTGTCCGCACCATGGCTGGAGGTACCTGTGAGGGAGCCTGGGATGTCCAGTTCTACCTGTGGCCCTGGGAGTGTGTGAGGCCCTGAGGGTGGAGGTGTATGTGGAGGGAGAAGTGAAGGGGCACCAGAGAGGTTAGGGTGCTGCTAGGGGAGGGGGTATTGAGGCACCCATTCTTCATAGTCCTCCTCTGAAGGTGCATGTGCCCTCTTCTTCAGCGTCCACGGTCTCGGTCTCGCTTCCTGAACTCCGGTCACTCCTAACATCAGGCCGGGCCCGGCTCTTCGATGTGAGATCTCGGGAGGAGGCTGCAGCGGGAACCATCCCAGGGGCAGTCAACATCCCGGGTATGGGATTGGAGGAGACAGCCCAGAAGGGTCTTAGCTAGTGGGATCTCAGAATGGCGTGGGGAAGGCAAAATACAGAGGCGGGGTGAGGGGAATCCTACATTTCCCTAAGCTGCCCTCAGCTTCCCACAGAGAAGGGCTGATTGGAGGCGGATCCTGGCAGTGGAACTGGCCTATCCAGTTTGAGGGGAGAGCAGAGGGTAAGGAGAGGGGCAAACCAGCTTCTATATGCTTGACCTCCCTGAAGCTAGATGCCTAAGTCTACCTGCTCCTCCTGGCTGCACACACACACACACACACACACACACACACACACACCCCAGGATTCAGGAAGTGACTCTCACTCACAGGTCATTTGGCAAATTTCCTTAAGGGTAAGCTGTTTCTTGACTTTGACAGGGTGGGAGGTGGCCACCATATATTGGTTCGGGGCCTGGAGATTTTGTTCCATCACCAGCTCTTCTTGCCTGATTTCTGACCCTGAGAATCAAGACTTGCTTTCCATTTATTCTCTGGACTCCTCTCCCAGTGTCCGAGTTGGAAAGTGCCCTGCAGATGGAGCCAGCTGCATTCAAAGCATTGTACCGCACTGAGAAGCCAAAGCAAGAAGATGAGAATCTTGTTTTCTTCTGTCAAATGGGAAAACGGGGCTTCCAGGCCACACAGCTGGCCCGGCGCCTTGGATACACAGGGTATGGGCATGGGCAACGTGTGGCTTGCTAGCTGGGAAGTGATTGGGGACTGCCTATTGGGCCTGTCCTTCCCTTACCCCTCTTTGTTTCCACAGGGCTCGAAACTATGCTGGGGCCTATAAGGAATGGTTCGAGAAAGAGGGTTAGGCAGAACCCTTATCTCTCCCTCCCACCTTAACAAAGGGTGATGAAGGAGATGACTTGCTGGGCTAGGCAACTCCTTTTAGTGCTTTGCACACAGAAACATTAATAAAGAACATTTTATCAAGTATTGGAAGTACTTAATTTGTTAGGCAGGCAGAAAATGGGTCTGGCTGGGTGTGGTGGTACATGCCTGTAATACCAACTACTTGAGAGGCTAAGGCAGGAGAACTGCAAATTCAAAGCCAGTAGGCAATTTATTGAGATCCTGTGGTTTGAAAGAAAGAAAGAGTGACTGGGTTCAATCCCCAGTACAGTATGGCAAAAAAGAAAGAAAGAAAATGGTTCTAATATTAATCTACACCTCAATTCAGTGCTGGATCATTTATCTTTCCAGCATTTATTTACCTGGCCTTACCCCCAAATTCTAGCAGTTGCCTGGGTAACTATAATTCTCCTTCTAGAACAGTTGTTTTTAGGGTGTACATGGCCTAGAAACTTAAAAAAAAAAAAAAGCTTGGTCTGGGGGTAATGTCTTGTGCCTATGTCCCATCCTGTCAGAAACCTGAGACAGTAGGACTATTTGAGCCCAGCAGGGCCACCCTGAACAACAGAGCAAGACCTCATCTAAAAAAAAAAAAAAGGCCGGATGTGGTGGCTCATGCCTGTAATCCCAGTAGACGGCTGCTTAGGAGACTGAGATAGGAGGATCACCAGTTATTTGAAGTCAGCCTTAGCAAAACGAGGCCCTAAGCAACTCAGTGAGACCCTGTCTCTAAATAAAAAATAAAAATAGGGCTGGGGATGTGGCTCAGTGGTTGAGTGCCCCTGAGTTCATTCCTGGTATCCCCCTCCCACCCAAAATAAAATTGGGCCCAACCCCAGATTATGTTGGTGGGGTGGGACCTGGGCATTTGTGGATTTTTTTTTTTTTTTAGCTCCTCTGATGAATCTAATATGCAGTAAGAAACTAGTTATCACTGCTCTTTATACCAGAGGTCCACAAACTAATAGCTCCAGCTATCCATATTGCTGTGATCATTCCTTTTTGAATTGTTTATGGCTACTTTTGTGCAAAACTGGCAGAATAATGACAGAAACTGTATATCCTTCAAAGCCTAAAATTTTTACTCTTAAGCCCTTTATAGGAAGAGTTTGCCTACTATTGCTCGTGAGCCCCAATATCACTTTCTTCAGACTTTGTTTTAGAGTTCAGGAAATGAAAAGCAATTCCAGGCCTTTGGGTAAAAGAGAATTGATGATACCCTTTATCCCTATATTTATGTGTCATATACGTGTTACAGGTATGAGGAGCCCTTCCTTTGCCACCCCAAACAATTCCCTGATTTTTGTCAACACTGTTCTGATTCCAACTAAATTTTGCTAAATTTAGTTGATTAAAAAACAAACAAACAAAAAACCTGAAATGGCAAATACTTACTGAAACTAAATTCAACACAATGCAGCAAGCATCTAACTTCCCTTTAATATGGTGCATATACTTTGATGCATATCTTTTGAGGCTTTTTTGGTTTTGTTTTGGTACTGGAGATTGAACCTAAGGGTACTTTACCACTGCATTCCATCTGCAGTCCTTTTATTTATTTTTAATTTTGAGACAGAATTTTGCTAAGTTGCTAAGTGGCTTTGAACTTGCAACCCTCCTGCCTCAGCTTCCTGAGTAGCTGGGATTACAGGCATGTGCCTCTGTGCCTGGCTCCTTGAGACCTTTCAATGGCAGAGTTTTTTTCCCCCTAAGTTTGATTTTTTAAAATTTTATTCTTTTATCTGTGGAAGAGAAGGTTGGGCCAGAGGTGGATTCAATTTTCTGTTTTTTCAAGTTTCTGAGAAAATTCCTTCCTACATTTCTTACATTCTTTGCTTTTTTTTTTTTTTTTCTCACCTTCTTTTCCTCTTCCCTTCTGCTTTCTGGATTATTGCCAGCCCTCCTACATCTTTTCTCTCACCATCCACATTATAAAATCCTCATTCATCTGGACTCCCCAACTTCTCGGCCTCAAAGCTATCCTACTTTCTCCCTGAGCTAATCTGAGTTTAGCCAGACATTGTTGGGTCAGAAGATAAAGTTGAAAGGGCAAATTGTGTCATTTATTCTTTCCTCAAATAACCAAATCCCTTTGGGAAGTTTCTCCTGTGGTCCAATTTCCTCTCTGAGTCTTAACTATTCTTGTTTCTTTTTTCCCCTCCCTCAATCTTTGTGATAGATTATAACATTTCCTCATTACTATTATTACTGAGGCATAATTTATCTATAATAAAATGCACAGTTCTTAAGTGTTTAATTCATTGAGTTTGGGGTATGCTCCCTTGTAACCATTTCCCTAAATAAGATTTATTTACTTTTTAATATTTATTTTATTTATTTTAGTTGTAGTTGGGCACAATACCTTTATTTTAATTATTTTATATGTGTGCTGACGATTGAACCCAGGGCCTTGAATGTGCAAGGCAAGCACTCTACCACTGAGCCACCACCCAGCCCACCCCTAAATAAGATTTAGAACACAGAAATCCCCAGGTTTTTTCCAGGTGCCACTTCCAATCTCTCCCTTTCTCTCTTTTTAAGCAACCACTTTCTATCACTATAGATAAGTTTTCTAGCACCCTTCCTGGCCTGCCAACATCTATCTTTTGCTTCTTTCTGTTTTATAGTTCAAAGTTAAGAATCCTAGAAGTAAAGTGATCTGGCTTACTATATAACCATGCCCTCTGGTTTGATCATTGTTAAAAGAACATTCCTCTTTCTCCCTCATTAACTGTTTGGTTAATAACCCTAACAGGCAGTTCCAGGCCATTACCTTTAAAGTTCTCTTTCCCTTTCCTCATAACTACCTGTTTCAGCAGGTGAAGCTCCAGCATTAGGGCTCACCAGCTACATGCACTTAGCTTGCCTTCTTCTGCCTTCCTTTTCATACTAAATTGGACTTCCTCTTTCATCCTACTTTATACCAGGTTTATGTTTACCATATGCATATGTCATAATGTGTTCATCATATGTGTTATACTTTTTTTTTTTTTTGAGTACTGAGAATTTAACTGGGTGCACTACTGCTGAGCTTCATGTGTTCATCATATGTGTTATACTTTTTTTTTTTTTTTTTTGAGTACTGAGAATTGAACTGGGTGCACTACTGCTGAGCTTCATCTTCAGTCTCTTTTTTTTATTTTGAGACAGAGTCTTGCTAAATTGCCCAGACTGGCCCCAAACTTGAAATCCCCCTTCCTCAGCCTCACAAGTAACTGGAATTACAGGTGTGCGCCACTGTGCCAAACTTTACATTACTATATTTTTGTTTGTTTGTTTGTTTCCCCTCCTAATTGGGTAGGCACTTCAAAAGTAGGGACTGGCTTTCATTTTCTTACCTCGGTGAATGTGAGTTTTCAGTAGGTGTTTGTTGAGCTTTATTAGCTTTTGACCTTCAGAACTTTCTAATTTCAGCCTTTTTGAAGCATCACTGCATAGCCAATCTTAAAATAACATTTTTATCTTATCAGTCAGAGTTGATAATATACAATAGGTCTTCTTTGCCTAGTGACTGGAGCACGTGTCTCAGCCTGGCCTTTTGAGCAATCTGTAGTGCATCAACCTTCATTTTCAAAGTAGCCTTCCAGTACTCGCTCTCATCAGAATTCGCCCCCCCCCCCCCAGTACTGGGGTTTGAATTCAGTGACACTCTATATTGAGCTATATCCCTAGCCCTTTTGATTTTTATTTCCACTCAGGGTCTTGCTAAATTGTCCAGGCTGTCCTCAAACTTGGCTGTCCGTCTTCCCCAGTAGGCGGGATTACAGGTGTGAATCACTACACTGGTTCAGGTGATTTCTAGGTGTGTGTGTGTGTGTGTTGCTGGGGATTAAATCAAGAGCTTCAGGAATCTTTTTGTCCTTAAGTAGACCTTCTTCCTTTCTAGATCAGACCTTCGCTCATCATTTCTGCTGTTTGGGAAACTTCCAGTCTTTTGTACCCTCTGAATTTCACAAGAATTAGAAGAATGTATTTGGCAGGAGATTTGTTGGTCTCATCAAGAGGGCTTTTAAACTCAAGGAGAAGGGAGAAAAATAGCAGATAAAATTATATAACTGGATTCCATGAAGAACACAAGATGCAGAATAGTAGACAAAGCACATACCTCTATTGTAGCATTTATCACACTATATTAATAATTTACATTCTCCTCTAGACTGAGTTCTTTGAGCAGAGGGGTTGTTTATTTTATTGTTATGGCCAACAATGAAACCAAAACCTCTCACATAGGAGATACTTAGTAGATGAATTTTCAGGGAGGCATTTAGTAATTCCCAGGGGAAAATGTGAGGTGAAAAGTTGGAAACGGTACTCATGAATGCCAGGATGTTACTATGGAAAGAGTAAAGATTCTGAGAGAGTTCTGAGTTCTAGTTCTGGCTTAGCCCAACTGAGGTGACTTTAAGATACTTTTAACTATTTCAACTCTCACTATTCTCATTTGTAAAATGGAACTTGTAAGGCTTTGCTGGATTTTGTGGTGTATGCCTGTTAGCTACTTGGGAGGAGGATCCCAAGTTTGAGGTCAGCCTCAGCAACTTTATGAGATCCTTAGCAACTTAACAAGACCCTGTCTCACAAAGAAAAAAAAAAAAAAAAAAGGACTGGAATGTAGCTCAGTAGTAAAGTGCTCCTGAGTTCAATTCAATTCCTAGTACCAAAAAGACAGAAGTTTCCTTGGATTGTTGTGTTAATACCTATCATATAGAACATATGGATTTATAGTTATATATGAGAGTATATACAATACACACAAAGAGCTAAATGCAATAGCATAAATATCAATGAAATTTGATGGAAGATATCATGATTGGAAGTGTGAAAGTATGTCATAATAAAAGGAAAATATGTTTAATAAAAGATAATTTTGCACAATAGCACACACCTGTAATCTCAGCTACTCAGGAGACTGAGGCAGGAGGATCAAAAGTTCAAGGCCAGGGCTGGGGATGTGGCTAAAGCAGTAGTGCGCTCGCCTGGCATGCGTGTGGCCCAGGTTCCATCCTCAGCACCACATACAAACAAAGATGTTGTGTCCACCGATAACTAAAAAATAAATATTAAAATTCTCTCTCTCTCTTAAAAAAAAAAAGTTCAAGGTCAGCCTGGGTAATTTATTGAGACCCTGTCCCAAAATAAAAACTTAAAGAGCTGGGGATGTAGGTCAGTGGTAGAGTGCCTGGTTAGCATGTTCGAGGCCTTGATTTTGATCTCTTTCAACAAAAAACAAAATGTGTTGAGACTTGATTTGTGGCCACCTTTTTTTTTTAGGGGGGCGGGGCGCGGGTATTAGGGATTGAACTCAGAGGCACTTGACCACTGAGCTACATCCCCAGCCCTATTTCATATTTTATTTAGAGACAGGGTCTCACTAAGTTGCTTACCATCTCGCTTTTGCTGAGGCTGATTTTGAACTCGGCGATCCTCCTGCTTCAGCCTCCCAAACCGCTGGGATTACAGGCATGCACCACCACACCGGCTCAATTTTTTTTTTTTTTTTTTTTTTTTGTGGTGCTGGGTGGTAAGCGACTGATAGCCCATTTTTGTATATATTTTGCTAGAGGGTCTCATTGAGTTGCTTAATGCCTTGCTTTTTGCTGAGGCTGGCTTTGAATTTTCAATCCTCCTACCTTAGCCTCCCAAACTGCTGGGATTACAGGTGTGTGCCCCCCACCCAGCTTGTGGCCACTTTTTTTAAATGGCCCATGAATGCTTGAAAAGAGAATATACTTTGCAGTTTTAGGTATTTTATATATGTTGTTCACATTTATTCTAATTTTTTTTTGGTCTATCAGCTATTCAAGAAGGCATTCCAATTAAATATATATGCTGCCAAAGCAAGCACTATTTAAAAAAAATTTTTTTTTTTTTGCCCTTAATTTTTTCCCCCCATTTTGAGACTCACCAAGTTATTCTGGGTGGCCTGGAACTTGAGATCCTCCTGCCTCATCCTTCTGAATTGCTGGAATTACAGGCTTGTGCCACCATCCTGGCTACAAGATAAATTTCAAATGGATCAAATATTAAATGAATGAAAACTACCAAGAAGAATTCTTTCATTGGGCTGGGGATATAGCTCAGTTGATAGAGTGCCTGCCTTGCATGCACAAAGCCCTGGGTTCAATCCCCAGCACCACCCCTCCCCCCCCTCCAAAAAAAAAAAAAAAAGAATTCCTTTATTACCTTAAAGTGGGTGAAAACATTTGTACAGAAGGTACAAAACAAAGAAGCCCAGAACATTCTTCATGATGCATGCAAACACAGGCATGTTCTCACACAAATATACCACATAAGTCAAAAGACAAACAGCAAGCTGTAGAAAAAAATTCAAGTCAGCACACATAGAGGGCTAATTCCTTGAACATATAAAGACCAATTACAAATGGATAAGAAAAAGACAACTATCCCTCTTTGGTTTGGATATGGTTTGGTTGTCCCCCATTGGTCCATGTGTTGGAGACTTGGTCACCAGGGTGTCAGTATTGGGAGGTTCTGTTGGCCTTTAAAAGCTTGGATTCACTGGGGGCCCTCAAAGGAAATTAATTACAGTATTTATCCTATGACCCCTTGGTAGTTCTGAAGAGAAGGCTATAGAAAAGGAGAAAGCTAGCCAGGTGCAGTGGCCCACACTTGTAATTCCAGGGGCTCATGAGTCCGAGGCAGAAGGATTGCAAGTTCCAGACTAGCCTTAGCAATTTAGCGAGGCCCTAAGCAACTCAGTGAGACCCTGTCTCAAAATTGAAAAAAAGTGAGGATGTGGCTCAGAGGTTAAGCACCCCTGGGTTTAATCCCTGTACCAATAAATAAATAAAATAATAATAATAAACAAAAGGACAAAGTCTAGGGCTGGGGAGTATATCTCAGTGGTGGAGCGCTTGTCTAGAGTGAGTGAGCCCCTGGGTTCCATCTCCAGCACTGGGGAGAAAAACAACAAACAAACAACCCACCACAGTGGCACACTCCTCTAATCTCAGTTACTCCACAGGCAGAGCAGGAGTATCTTAAATTCCATACCAGCCTGGGCAACTTGGCAGACTCTGTCTCAAAATCAAGATCAAAAAGGGCTGGGATGAAATTCATTGGGAGAGCACCCCTGGGTTTAATCCCTATCACCAGTGGGGAAAAAAAGAAAAAAGTAGGCTATGTCAGGTATTTTGTGTAGTGACAACAAGCTGACGAAAAAATGTCCCAATAAATAAATGAGCAAAGCATATGAAAAGACAGTTCCCAGAATGCAAATTGTTCTTAAACCTAGGAAGATGTTTATCTCACACATAATGAGAGATATGCAAATTAAAACCAAACTGAGGTATCAATTGACATTTATTAGATTGGCAAAGAATTAATATTTGATAACAGTCTTTTGGCAAGATTGTGGGAAAAGAGGCATGCTAATAGATTTTGCAAATGTAAATGGAATAACCCCTAGAGGGCAATTTTTCAATATTAATTAAAATAATAAATGAGTATATTTGACCCAGCATTTATATTTCTGGAGCTTTATCCTACAAATAAGTTATAACCATTTGTGTGAAATATATGTGTTTATTGTATTATGTTAGCAAAAGATTGAAAGCAACAAGTGCAGGGCGAAGTGGCACACACCTGTAATCCCAGTGGCTGGGTAGGCTGAGGCAGGAGGATCAAGAGTTCAAAGCCAGCTTCAGCAAAAGTGAGGCACTAAGCAACTCAGTGAGACCCTGTCTCTAAATAAAATATAAAATAGGGCTGGCGATGTGGCTCAGTGGTCAAGTGCCTTGGTACTCGATTACCCCCCAAAAAAGAAAAAAAGTAACAAGTGTTTATAAGTTGAAACTGGCTAAATAAACATTATAAGCATACAATAGATTATTATGTGCTTGTGGAAAAAAAATGAGTAAGCTCTTGGTGTACTCATGAAAGATCTCTAAGACACTTTGTTAGGTGCAAACAATGTAGTATGCTATCTTTTTATATAAAGAAAGAGTGATATGACAGGGATATATACTTATAGTTGCTTGTTTTAGCACAAAGAAGCCCTGGAAGGACACAGAGAATAAAAAGTCATTCCCTTACAAATTTTTTAGCATCCTTGCTGCTCTCTCCAGCACTAGTTTAGGCAATTCCCAACTATTGTCAAGTCCAACTAAATGCTTACTACTGTCTCCTTGTGGTCACACAGCTAGTGTAAAGTTCACACTGGAGCTCTTTAAATTTATGTCCAAAATATCTGTAGGAACTTAACATTACTCACCAGCTCTTTACTTTTTTTTTTTGGTACTGTGGATTGAACTCAAGGGAACTTTACCATGAGTTACATCCCCAACCCTGGAGTCTTACTAAATTGCTGAGGCTGGCCTTAAATGTGCATCTCCTACCTCAGTCTCCCAAGTAGCTGGGATTATAGGTGTGTAGTACCATGCCCATCAGTAGATTCATCACCAATTCTAATACACTGGTCTAGAGTGTTCCTTTTCAGGCTCCACTTTTTCCTATTATTCAGATCTCCTAAACTTCCTCTTCCTCTGTATTCTCAGCTGATAACTTTCCTTTAATACTCCATTGAGAACAGAAGAAATTAGACTGACTTTCCAACATTTTTCCACCAACAAAGGTACTGATCACAGCACCTACTTCCTTTTTGTTATGGCATGTGGGTATTTCTGTTCTCTTTTAAGGCTCAACAGGAGCTCATCTCTTTTCTACTTGATCTTGGTACTGCAATTACCCTCTCTTCCAAAAAAATCCACCATTAATATATTCCTCCCTATTAAATTATTGCCATGAGTAATACAAGCATTTCCTTCTAAGCAAAAATACCTACCCTCCCTTCATCCAACATCCCCTTCAGCTGCTGCTCCTTTACTCTGCTGCTTTTAGCAAATCTCTAAGGAACAATTTATAGTCACAGTCTTTGCTTTTTTAATGAGGCATTCAATTATGCCTTCCAAAATTTTCTATTTTGCAAACTCATCAGTCTGTATTTTTAAAATTTGCTTTTTTTGAAAGGTTAAAGAAAACAAATATCAATGACAATGAAATTTAAAAATTTACTAATTTAAACAATTTTATGGGAAAATAATTTTGAATATCAAATTATTTGCATGCTCTAAAATTATTTTTATGTTTTATAAATATATACACAAATGTTTAATATAGTAATAACTGGGGTGCATACTAATTGTATTTACTTTTTCCCATTTAATTTTTTACAGGGATACCAGGGATTGAACTCAGGGGTACTCAACCACTGAGCCACATCCCCAGTCCTATTTTGTATTTTATTTAGAGACAGGGTGTCACTGAGCTGCTTAGTGCCTCCCTTTTTGCTGAGGCTGGCTTTGAACTTGAGATCCTTCTGCCTTAGCTTCCCAAGCCCCTGGGATTACAGGTGTGTACCACCGCACCTGGCTCCCCATTTAATATTTATAATTAACATGATTTCATTTATGCTTGCCTTTTAATATTTCATTTTCAAAACAAGTATGAAAGTGAATAAAGATAAATGCAATATATATTTTGGTTTAAAAACAGCTGTAGAAAGGTGGGGATATGGCTCAGTGGTACAGCATCTGCCTGGCATGTGTGAAGCCCTGGATTCTAGCCACAGCACGGCAACAATACTAAAAAAAAAAAAAAAAAAAAAAAAAAAAAAAAACTGTACAAGTATAGGCTGTCAAAGATCCTTTACATTTTTTTTTTTTTGAGAGAGAGAGAGAGAGAGAGAATTTTAATATTTATTTTTTAGTTTTCGGCGGACACAACATCTTTGTTTGTATGTGGTGTTGAGGATCGAACCCCGGCCGCACCCATGCCAGGCAAGCGCGCTACTGCTTGAGCCACATCCCCAGCCCCACATTTTTTTTTTTTTAAATATTTTTCCTGTAGTGGGATTGAATGCAGAACTTAGCTGGTGTTATACAAATGTTCACCACAGAGCTGCATCTCCAGTCCTGCTCTTTGCTCTTTACATTTAACTTCAAGTTCATCTCTTTTCAAAGACTTGAAATTCCTTTGAGAGTAAAGAAAAGCTTTGCGTTTGGCAGGCACACAAATACTTGCTACAATTTACTAATACAAAGTTTCTCTTTGGGTTACATATTGTCTTGTTTCTTGTTTTGGTCTTGTGAGTAGATGGCAAATGATGAAGTCTATTTATTTGCATTTCCCTACAGCACCCAGTAGGTGCTTGATAAACATTGCTTTAAATTGGGTAGAACCAGAAATGGAAACTGGATCATGAGACATGGACAAAGGAGTGAAATGTAAAACATGGCAAAGATAAAAGACTCGCAAAAGTGTGTGTGTGTGTGTTTTTTTTTTTAATCCATCTTTTGGACAAAAGTGAGAACTTTCCACTTGCACACTTGCAATAAGTTTTTTCAGATTGCCCTCATCCCCCGCAACTGTGGTATACTTAACACGGTAAAAATCAAATCACTGTAAAATCGAAACCACAAATAGTGAAAATGCTGAGCAAGAATTTCAACTAAAAACGATTTAACAATATAAATATTAATAGAAAGCTTGGGTATCAACATAATCTACAGAAAAAGAGGAGGTTTAGGAGAGATGGGTGTGAAGTCACACCTCTGTAATCCCAGCCATGTGGGAGGCTGAGGCAGGCAGATCGTAAATTGGAAGCCAGACTGGACAATTTATCAAGACAATCAGAATGAAAATAAAAAGGTCTGGGGGTGTGGCTCAGTGGAAAAGCACGCCTGGGTTCAATTCCCAGTATTGGGGGGCAGGGAAGGAGGCTTAGTCAGCATCCAACCATTAGTTCATTAGTCACAACGAGAAGCTGAATAATTCTTAAAATGTAAGGTCTTGCTGACAGATGATATATGTATAAAGCACATATCCAGAGAGTTACCCAGAGATGTGTGTATATAGCATGTGTATATCAGTTTCTATTATCTTTTTTTTTTTTGGGGGGGGGGGTACCAGGGATTGAACCTAGGGGCGCTTAACCACTGTGCCAGACTGCCCTTTTTTTATTTTACGTTGAGACAGAGTCTCACTAAGTTGCTTAGGGTCTCTCTGAGTTGCTGAGGCAGGCTTTGAACTTGTGATCCTCCTGCTCAGCCTCCCAAACCGCTGGGATTACAGGTGTGCACCACCGCGCCTGGCTCTGGGTAGGCTTTGTGTGTATCTATTTAACGGTCTTCTTAAAGATAATATAATTATTTTTCCACTTTGGAGTTGAGTGCTCCCTTACCCTTTATTTTCTCTCTCCTCTCTCAAAGCCGGTGAATGCGCTATTCGGGTGAACAGAGGAACCCGGTTCTGGGATGTATCAAAGTTATCTTTCCACTTTCCCAGTTCTCCCCGCCCCACTATCATATTAATATGTGGTTTTCATTTGCCCAGGAATGGGACCAAAGTTTCTGCAGCACGAAGCAATTTACATTGACGTAAACATTAAAAAACAAAAACAAACAGAAACCCGAAAGGAGCCATTCTCCTGACTACCCCTGACAGACTACCTATCCTTGCCTCTTCCTTAGAGGTAACCTCTCGTCCTCTAGCTTCAACTAAGAGCCATCCAGTCAGAGAGTTCCTACTTCAGAAACGCTGCCCAATCAGGGGGCCCTTACCTGTAGCAGGTGAGGGATTCGTTTCCTTGCTTGACAATCTCCTCAGCCAATCAGAGCAGTTGGAGCAGGGACCCGAGCATTGCGGCCCCAGAGGGGAGTAATGGGCGGGGTTGCACCTGGCGACGGTGAATCACTCAACGGAGCGGCGGCTCTCTTCACCAATCAGAATGTGCAGGGGCGGGGCGCCGGCCAATCGGGTGTGGAGGGCAGGGCCGGGCGGGGCTCAACCTGGCGGCTGGAGTTTTTCTCTGAGCTGCGGATCCCAGAGCTGTGCGTTCCCGGGGCTCTTGCTGCTGCCGTCGTGTTGGGATTCTAATCGTGATGGGGACAAAGGCGAAAACCGGGGGAAAACAATTGCTTCTCTTTACGACGGCGATCCTGTGTAAGTTCCCAGAGTTTCGGGAGGAATTGGTGGGTCGGCCAGAGGTTGGGGGTAGGTGTTCCCCACGCCTCTTGCTTGCGGGGAGGGGTGGAGTTCAGAAACCTAATTTGCCTCACCCTCCAAGTTCTCTTCCACCCTCTTTTCCCCATCCCCCGCCTCCTGAGAGTGGCTGGCTTCCTTCCCTCACCTCGGAGGATTGTGACCCCTCCCCTTACACTGTGGGAAGGAGCTGCCCTTTCCCCCACACACCAAAAATAACCGGGTAGCCTGGCACCACTCTTCCCAGCCCTCACCTCGTGGCGAGGGCAGCCGGGAAGGGGGGGGAGCACCCTTCCCACATACATCTACCCAGCCATCCCCTTCCACACGCACCTGGAAAGGGCCATCCTCTCTCCAACATCCACGAAAGACCAAGAGAAGCCATGAACGTCTAACCTCCTGATTCGCTTGGCTCCCTAAGGGCCTTAGGAGGAAGCTAATGGGGGTGGGTGGGGTAATAGTCTCCTTTCCTGCATTTTGCAGAAGGGGGTCTCTGTCGCTTCCTAATCCTTGGATTCCATGCTCTGGGAAAAGTGGGTGCAGAGTCTGAACAGGAAATGAAACTGAAATCTGAAATTTGCACAGCACGGTTCAGAATCCCTTTCTGGAATAACTACGGAGGAATCCTTAATAAGTGTTGACTGAGTGACTATTCCCAGGGGGAGGATGTGTCTTTGGTTGGCTGGCTTCTCAGAGAGCCAGGACTTTGCCCGCCCTCTGGCCGGGTATGAGTTTTTGTTTCCTTTGTAAACTCCCTTTCCTGAAGAACAATGAGGCTCACTTGCTGGGGCAGGCCTCTGTCTCTAGGTGTGCTGGTGTGGGGCTGAGTGTGTAGTTGGCGGTTTGTACCATAGTGAACCTGTGTCAGCACCTGTATGTTTATCTGTCTGATTTTTTTTTTTTTAATGCAGTGCTGGGGATCATCTCGGGGCCTTTGGCATGCTTATGTCTGATACTTGTGTGTCTCTGCATATACTTGTGGGTGATTATGTCAGTATTTGTTCTATATGAGTCTGTTTACCCCCAAGATTCATGTTTTAGGAAGTGTAAAAGAAACCAACTAGTAAAATCAGTACTGATGTCATAAGGGTGATTATTTTGCTTAGAATATATTTTCTGCTCCAGATGGATAGACCCATTCCTTTATCCCTTATCACAAAAATATAAACCTTTAGGGTGGAATGGACCAGAGGCAATTTTAATTCTCTCCATTGTGCAAATAAGGAAATGGGTCTAAAAAGACAGGAAATTATTTTTTCAGGTTGATGAGGGGTGGAAAATGGGAATGGAACCAAAGCCTCCTAACTTGCTTCTCTTTATTCCACTCCTGGATCCAACATTTTAGGCATCCTATGGCCCAAGAACTATCTGGGAATCTGCTTGAGAATCTACTGTCTTACTTACCTTTTAACAGTTCATTGCCACTAGGTTCTTCCTTGTCTTACTTCTCTCTCTCTCTCTCTCTCTCTCTCTCTCTCTCTCTGTGGTCCTGGGGATTGAACCCATGGGCGCTTAACCACTGAGCCACATCCAGCCCTTTTTGTTTTTAATTTTGAGACAGGGTCTGGCTAAGTTGCTTAGGGCCTTGCTGAGTTACTGAGGCTGGCTTTGAACTTGAGATTCTCCTGCCCCAGTCTCCCAAGCCACTGGGGTTACAGATGTGTGGCACTATTCCTGGATCACTTCTCTCTTTCATTCTACTCATCCATTTCCATTTTTCTTCAGTTTCCTTCCCCTCTCCTATTTTATATCTGCCCATATCTTAGAAATGTTAGTGATGCCTGTGTGCCAGGGATTAAACAAGAGGCACTCAACCACTGAGCCACATCCCCAGCCCTAGTTTGAATTTTATTTAGAAATAGGGTCTCACTGAGTTGCTTAGCTTCTTGCTTTTGCTGAGGCTGGCTTTGAACTCTCAATCCTACCCAGCTGCTGGTATTACAGGCGTGTGCTACTTTGCCCGGCTAAGTCTTTGCCAGCTCTTGAACTGTACAGGTACAAATCAAATCCAGAAGCTTCTTCTGGGTCAGTGACTATTGGTAACAGTTTTTGTCAGTGACAGTACAAATACAGTGACTGACAGTAGTTGTTAGGCTTATAAGAGCTCCTTCCTTCCTTTTCTCTCCCCCTAATTTCCTATATTATTTAGGATAGTCCACAATCATCACTGAAAGGATTGTGATAGCACTATTTTGGCTGAGAGTGTCTTCTGGGAATAAGTAACAGTGATTCGAAAGGAGCCCGTGTGATGTTGTATTAGCTTGATAGGCAGTGGGTCCTGGAACCCACTGGAGGAATGGACCTTGCAACTCTTCAATCAAGGTAGACCGGGGCAAGGGAAGTGATTTGGTTAGTGCAAATGAGGATGGAAATGAGAGCCAGGTCACCCCATCTGGGTTCTGCCTTGATTTCCTCCTCTCCCTTGTTTATGACCTTAGGCTAGTAGCTCAGTCTTCTCATCTGTAAAAAGGAGTAATATGTGTCCTGTCCTCATCGTGAGGATCACTGGGGATAACAGCTATATTACTTGAACATGAAGGGATTATGGTTGAGTGGCTATTATGCCCTTTGGGTTTTATGAGGAGGAAAGAATGCTGGGGACAGCATTCAAAGAAAGCAGGGAGATTTCAAATGGCAAGAGTCAGAAAACAGGGGCTTTTTGGTTGGGTATGGTGGCGTGCACCTGTAACCCCAGTGACTTGGGAGGCTTGCAAGTTTGAGACCAGCCTGGGCAACTTAGTGAAGCCCTGTATTAAAATAAAGTAAAAAGGGCTGGGGATGCAGCTCTGCAGTAGAATGCCCTTGGGTTCAATCTCCAGTACTGGGGGTGGGGGTGGGAGTGGGGTGGGGGTGTGTAGGTGGGTGGGGACTGGGCACATCTGCAATCCCAGTGACTCAGGAGGCTAAGGCAGATTGATTGTAAGTTTAGGTCAGCCTGGGCAACTGAGCTAGATCCTGTCTCACAATTAAAATAAACAAACAAACAAATTAATAAATAAGACTGAGAATGGCCAGGTGCATTGGCAAATTCCTATAATCCCAGCAACTGGAAAGGCTAAGGTAGGAGGATCACAAGTTCCAGACTGGCCTCAGCAACTCAGCAAGACCCTAAGCAGCTTAGCAAGACCCTGTCTCAAAATAAAAAAACAAAAAAGGGCTGGGAATGTGGCTTCATAGTATAGCGCCCTGGGTTTAACCCCCGGGGGTTGGGTGGGGGGGAAGTAGGGGCTCTTTCTTGGGCTTCTGGTCTGTGCCCTCCTGGGTGTTTGAAGCATGTATAGGTTACTCCTGTGTTCTCCCCTCCCCCAGGGCTGTTCCTCACAGTGGGCTCTGCGATCCGGAAGGAATAAGAAAGGGCAAAACAGCAGGGAGAGGGGACTGGGGTTGTGGTTCAGTTGTAGAGCACTTGCCTAGCATGTGTGAGGTGCTGGGTTCCATCCTCAGTACCACATATAAATAAAATAAAGGTTTTGTGTCAACTAAAAACAAACAAAAACCCAAAACAGCAGGGAGGAGTCAAGTGAAGTCCTAAAATTGGCCTGGGGAACCTGGTGGAATGGAAGGCCTGACCCTACTGGAGTAGGGATCTGGAGACACACTGGGAGACCTGGGCTTGGGAAGAGTAAAATTGGTTACCCATAGTAATGGTTTCCCCTTCCCTAGAGAACCTGTACTGAGAAAAGGTTAGGCTATCTCCCAGGCAGGAAAGGAGTTTCAGCTTAGCAGGGTGATGATGGCCAGTGGATATGTCAACTTTTGATGTGATCACCTGGAGGAAAGTAAACCTGGGATGGAATCCTGACCCCTCCTCCCCCTTATTCCAGTGTGGGGTTCTCACTGAGGTGTTCCTGGTGGGTGGAACTGCTGGTCTGGGTCTGGGTCAGGGTCAATCTCCAAGTCTTTGTGCTTCCTGCTGATGTTTCTGACTCAAGCTCTTATAAACACTTGTTTCTTACTATTCAGGAACAGACTTAACTGTAGATCAGTGAGTCATTCCTACTTTCCCCTCCCTCTAAGGAAAGAATTGTTTCTTCAAACTAGAAACTAGTGAGTAATTTCAGTTTGAAGTAGGAAATGAGTGGTGGTATGATTCTAGCATGTTAGTTTTTCTTGGTTCTGGAATGCTTTTACCTTGTGATGTTTCTCTTCATCTCCTTTGTGATTAGGGCTTGTCTGGGGTCTCCAGCCTAGTATGAGGTAGAGATACTGTGATTTTAAAAATTATTTAAAGCTGTGGATGTAATGGCAGCGTAGTGGGCATAGTGGCACATACCAGTAATCCCAGTGACTTGGGACACTGAGGCAGGATTTCATGTTCAAAGTCAGCCTCAGCAATTTAGCAAGACCCTGTCTCAAAAAAGGGAGGCAGGGCTGGGGATGTAGCTCAGTGGTAAGGCACCCCTGGATTCAATCCCTAGTACTGCAAAATAAAAATAAAATAAATAAACAAAATTATTTAGAATGGATTAGTTGATTGGGGTTTGAGATTCAAAATGGTATCAAAGAGGTGGGGCATCTCATTTCCCACTGTTCTTATTCATCTCATAACCGCCCCCCTCAAGTTTCTTGTGTATTTTTCCAGTGTCTTTGTTATGCAGATATATGTATGAAAATATATATATATATTTTCTCCCTTTGCTTACACAGGAAGAAGTATACTGTATGTACAATTGCATCTTGCTTTTTTTACTTAGTATATCCTGTAGGCTTTTCATACTGCTATTATAGGGATTGTGGTCTTGACTATGAATATTCACCCCACTCCCTCCCCACAGTCAGCTGGAATTCAAGGCTCTCTTCTGTGGACATAGAAATGGCTGATCCCCTCCTAGAGATAGATGGAAGGGCTGCATGCATTCTGTGTGATAGGTTAGGAAATGATGGGTCTTGTTTTTCACATCTGTTGGTTTTGAGGAGAGACCCCTGGGGATCTCCGAACTCAAACCTGCTTCCTTTTCAGA